GCCGGCCCATCAGTGGCCCCACTGTCACGTGCGGGCCCGCTCTTTTGGCCGCACCGGGCAGGTGGCGATGAGATGTTCTAGAGCCCCACAATACAGGCATAACCCAGTGCGGATACGGCGGGCCTGTTCTTCAGGGTCTAGATGGGCACGTTCCAGGTCCATGGGTTCATCTGTCTGTCGTGGAATGCAGGTCTGAGAATCCCCCATGCGGAGAGATACCCGGGCTTCGGCAGGTGGTAAAGTCATGACGTGGGTCCAGGGGGCCACCCTGCTCTTTCCTTGTGGGAAGAACATAGCTGTTTGTCGATCCGGATAGCCAAGTCCACCAGGGAGCGGAGAGAAGGGGGCTCATCACATGTATTCAGCTCTGCCTTGATGTTCTCATTGAGGCTGTGCCAGAAGGCCGCGCGAAGCGCGCGGTCCTACAAGCCGGCCGGCCTCCGTTGCAAGAACCCGGAAGTCAATGGAGTAATCCAGGACGCGACGAGCCCCCTGGCGGATAGTCATAAGCTCCTTGGCAGCTTGACCCTGATGAGATGAAGGTGAAAAAACAGTCTGTATTTCATCCAGGAACTCGGTGATGGTGGTGCCGATAAGCACACCACTGGAGTCCGCAGCCTCGGCCCAAGTAAGCGCTTTCCCATGCAGCCGGTTGGTAACATAACTGATCTTCTCTTTGTCCGTGCGAAATGTCCGTGGTTGCTGATCGAACACCCGGCGGCACTGCAGCAGAAAACCCTGGCACTTATCCACGCTGCCGTCGAAGACATCCGGTTCGGGGTAAGGCGGATCACGACGGGGACTGGCAGCACAGGGAGCGGAGTGTGGATCTGGGGTGGCAGTGTGACCGTGGTGAGACAATAGGAGCGAGGTGAGTTGTGCTACCTGCTGGGTGAGAGCGGAGATGTCCTGTTGTTGCTGCTGCAGTGCCTGAGCCATTCTGTCCATTTGGGTGGTGACGTGTGCAGGGACAGAAGCGCTGTTTGCACCAGAGCCAGCAGGGTCCATACTGGCCAGTTCTTTCTGTTAGGGTGCGCTCGAACACAGAGTGAGCGAGCAGATAAAAAGCGGACCCAGGTGGCTGGCTTCGGTGCAAGCAGTGAGGTTTATTTACAGTGAAGGTAGTGACATATATACAGGAGGAGTAATGAGGTAGATGACCGGGTGTCGATCAGCAGCAGCAGAAAAACAGTCAGTGGTATGGTGGATGATCCAGAGGAGAGGTCCGAAGAGGAAGAAGACACTAGAGGGGCAGGATAACGACTAGGGTGCTAACAAGGACTAGAGAGAACAAAGACAATCTTAGCATAAACTTGATAAAACAACATAACAACCACTGGCCTGAAGACAGAGAAAGAACTGGCAAGGGAGTGACTGGTGAACAGTGTATAAGTATGGAGGAGACTAATGAGGTGCAGCTGGTGAGTAATCAGGGAAGCGGGGCAGGTGTGTTGAATAGTGTAATCAGTGCAAGGGCTAGGCTAGTGTGAGGAAAAAGAAGAGAGGAAGGTGTAGCCGGGCAAACCTGACAGGGTCTTACTGCAAGAAGACACTACATGGATCACATAAGCAAAAGTAAAAAGAACAAACATGCAAATAAGATGTTGTTTATACACATGTAATCAAAAGTAAACTTAGATCCTCATTAGCAGCCTTTTTTAAACTAATATTCCATTCAATAACCAAAGTGGAGCACTCTGACACTGATTTCATCCTTTGTAGGCTACGACATGTCAACATTTATTAGACGGTACGGACGATATCTGAACGAGAAAGCCTTTGCCTACCGCCAGATGGCTTTTGACTTCACCAGAGTCAAGAAGGGGTATGTTAACCATTGTTATTATAGTCTGTGCTGAAGGGCCTTATTGGCATAGCACGTAACCCTTGCTGTTCATTAATTTACCTTTTTTCTTATTGTCACTTGGCCATGTCCCACGGCTGCTCTTGTCCCCCCATTGAGCATCTAATCTTCTCTCTGATGCATCTCCGTCAGTGCTGAGGGTGCGATGAGAACCATGACCACTGAGAAGCTGTTGAAAGGCATGCCTGTTCTGCAGACTCAGATTGACACACTCCTGGAATTTGATGTGAGTCCAACTTGTCCCTGACTTGTAAACCTAAATGCAGCATTCAAAGACAGATGTTTTCTGATGGCTTTCACTTTCTGTCTGTCTTTCTCCACTCAGGTTCACCCCAAGGAGTTGAATAATGGGATCATCAATGCTGCATTTATGCTGCTCTTCAAGGACCTGGTCAAACTGTTTGCATCCTACAATGATGGAATCATCAACCTGCTAGGTTAGTAGTCCTTGATTGATTAACACCTTAATTGCATGTTTTGCTTGCTTTGCACCATCATATCTCTGAATCCATATGCTATTTGTTTTCTGTATATAGAGAAATATTTCAAGATGAAAAAAAGTGATTGCAAGGAGGCCTTGGAGATCTACAAGAGGTTCCTGACCAGGGTGACAAAGATTGGGGAATTCATGAAGCTGGCTGAGGTACAGTGATGCACAACTGACAGTCCTCAACATTACATTCATAATGATGTATATGTCCTGACACAGAAGTGCAGTAATGCTAATGAGCTTGAACTATTTTTCATTCAACAGATAGTTGGAGTTGACAAAAACGACATTCCTGACATTAACTATGTAAGTCAGCACACAGTATATCACAGTTGTTTTAATGTGTTCCCTGCAAGAACTGGGACTAAGAATACAATGGTCATGAACACCATCCATCCTATCTCACACACACACACACACACTCTGCTGTGTTTTCATTCCTTGTGGGGACTTTACATTGACTCACATTCATTTCCTGTAGACTTATCCTAAACCTTAACCATAACCACTACTTGCCTGACACCTAACCCTGACCCTAACCTCATCCTAACCCTAAACCATGTTGCCACCTTAAAATTCAGTGATTTCCTTGTGGGAACTAGCTTCTGGTTCCCACAAGGATGGCCGAGTCCCCACAGTGTGAGTGTGTTAAAAGGTTTCGGCCCTCATGATGCAAGTAATACAAAGGCACACACACACACACACACACACACACACACAAAAGCACCCATGTCTCATGCACCTGCATCTCCCCAACCCAGTGTCTCCACCCGGGGGTAGTGGTGGATCTAGCAGACTCAGATGACGAAGACTGTCCCTTTAAACCTCTCGAGGAACCGGTAACCACGGATGCACAGGGTGCCTTGGCTGAGTGCCTATTTGCAGGATGGAGTGTCGGCATGTTGATCCTAATTTAATTTGACAGACACGCCACACACACAAATCTCACATGCTTGTGTGTTTTTACAAGCATGTTGGTTTTGCAGTGAGATTTGACAGTGTCACTCTCAGCACTTCTGGCAACTGAAATGTAACATGGACTGAAAATGTGATTTGGTGATGTGAATTTGTGTAAAAGATTAATTAGTGATCCAGTTTTGATTTTGTGTGTGTGTGTGTGTGTGTGTGTGTGTCGGGCTCCCAGCAGTATCCTGGAGTCTCTGGAAACACACATGAATGGTCTGGAGGATACAAAGGGTGGAAAAAAGGGGTAAAGTGTTCAATAATGTCCTTTTATTTTGGTTTGAGTGCTTTTTACTCTCAGCATGAAGCCAGAATAGATCAAGCGGGATCACCATAACAACAAAAGCAAATGAGGCCAAGATCTGAGAATTTCACTTTTTGTTTTTCACAAGTTTTGCTACAAATAAACCAAGAGAAACAGCCCTGTGCAGGTGCCATATTTCAGTATTTTTCGTTAACCCTTCCTCTCTTTTATCCCCTTTATGTTCAATTGGAATCACCAGTGAAGGGTGAGCATATACTGTGTGTTTTGTTGGGACTTTACTAACCTCTTAAAAACTGTGCAGATGTATTTGCTGTCATTTCCCCCCTCCAGGTAAACTTACACATTATCCCCATGCGAATTTCAGTATGTAGGTGATTTTCATGTAAATCGAAGCATTATGCACCATAGCTAACTAGATTCACATGTGGAAATGTGTGTATTGGTGCGATTACATGTGTGAAATATGTTTGGATAAACTGTTAGTCATCACATGTGTATTATCGCATCCTAAAGTGCAATGTGAATCAGTATATGAAGAGTTTTATGAAAATGACTAGCACAAAATTAAAATACACTTGACATAATTAGAGTATGTGAAACAATTGGATCATTCTTTCTTTTCATATTGTGTATGGAAAGTACCTCTTCATATGATCACATATAATGATGTCATTCATGTGAACATTTGCCTGATTTTTTTTAGTTTAGATTTTGGACACACATACATACATTTCAGCTTTTATCAGGTAGATCTGCCTTTTTCAAACACAAATACTAAAAATTCCTCTTCCACTCTTTCAGGTCTCCAACAAAGGTAAGATACACATTTAAAGCAGTCTTCATTTTTTTGCTAAGTTCTTCCAGTCTGATGTATTTCTGAAAAGGGGCTTCTCTTCAGGGATCTCCGACAAACAATGTGTCTCCAACATCGACTCCTGCCAAATCTTCAAATGCTGTTCCTGCACTGCAGCCTCCACCTGGGGAGAGTGCCGCCTCTGCCGCTGCCGCTGCCGCTGAGCCGGCTGAAGAGTGAGTGACGATTTTCTGTGACCATCCTGTGGCTGCCATCTCTTCTGTGTTAGTCTATGGCCTCAAGTCTGTCATGTGCCACTGCTGTTGGATCAAATCTGAAACTAATTTTAACACATTTGGCGATAAATTCCTCTGTGCTGCTTTTGAAAACACACCCCAGGGCTAATTTTGCAGCAGTATACTCTATAATGTCCATGATTATATGGGTCATTTATTTGCTAAACCCTAAAAGAATACCGGAGGCACCACTCTAATGGAGGAATGGACGAATTGCCATGAAATTTTATACACGCATTTATGGCCCTCCAAGGATGAATTCTGCTGACTTTAGTAATCCCTTGACTTTTACTCAATTTCCATGAGGCTGAAATTTTAGTTTTTGAGTAAAATATGTTAGCTATTTCACTGAGCTTCATGAAATTTGCAACAGATATTTGTGGTCCTTAGAGGATGAATTCTGATGCGTGTTTTGAGTCGTCATAGTTTCTTCTTGTACCATCATCAGGTCAATTCTTTTATGTTTTCAGCACTTTGGTTTATGGCCAAACACTTCTGAAACAAATGGCATTTCTATTAGCCTCAGCTGTACTTTGTGTTTATGTAAGCATATTAACATGTTGAACTACAATGAAGAACATGAAAAACATTATACATGGCTAACATCAGTATGTTAATATTGTCACTATGATGATATGAACATGCTGATTTTGCCATTTAGCTCAAAACACTGCTGTGTGCAGCCTCAAACTGCTGCTAGCATGGACACTTACTGTTGTTTTGGACTATTATGAAAAATAATATTTACTTTCTTATTTATTCATGGGTTTTAACCAATAAATGTGCATGTGGAGCAGAGGGTTTTTTCTCAGCAGTCTGCAACAAAGGTTAACTAAATGTTAACCTCATCCTCTGCATCTTTCTCATTTTATAGTTCTTTGCTGGACCTGGATCCATTGTCCTCCTCAGGTCCTTCTGCACCATCAGCTGGCCCCACGTCCTGGGGAGGTAAGTAACCCTCCTTCATGTCTAACCAGCTATTGTTCATTGGTTTACAGTGAAATGGACCACTGTCACGGTGAATGTCAAGAAATTAGTGAATTTTCTTTAATTAAATTTCTACATAAACAGTTTATTGCTGAGTTTTCATTAAAAGTGTTTCATTTACAATAAAGAAGTAAACTAATACAATCTTGAGCTAACATATTTTTCCCTGTGCCTTTGTTTTCTGCTTCCATAGATCTTCTTGGTTCAGGTGAGTGTTACTCTACTTTTCACTTCATCTTCACCTTCTACTTTTGACTAGTGTAGTTTAAATCATTCTCTCTGTTACCTTAATGTCACCATCTTTCTCTCTTAACATACTCTAATCTATAATCGATGTGACCTGTAAACAATGTCAGTGTTTTAACCCGAAGTGAACTTTCAGATAGGTAGATTTAATGTACCGATGTCACATAGTTACCTACCTTTGTCTTCCTCAAGCTATTCTCTTTAGCCTGAGTCTTTGTTTCTCTCTACCTTCTCTCTCCCCTCCCTCCACACACTCCATTGTCGGCTATTTTGGTTGGTTGCTTTTTATTTGTTGATTATGGCTGGATGGTGCTGGATAACTTTACAACTTTGATTTGGTTAAAATCTGAATTTTGCTTTGGTCGGTCAATTCCAAATTATCTGAACTGGGTTTGATTTGAATTGGACCTTTGTTTTGGCTTGCTTTTCTTCACTATCATTTTGAACGGTGAATCACACTATTTTGGTTGCTCTTTTGGGGTTTATTTTGGTGCCTTTCTTTGGGGGGATTTCAAACAACCCCTTGGTACTCGCAGAAATGGGGGATTCCTTGCTATCTGAACCCACTCTCACGGCAGAGCCCGCCCCCTCCTCTGCAGCAGCGCCACCCACTCTTGCAGCGGCAGAACCTGAAGCCTCTCTAGCTCCTCCCACTAGTACAGCAGCTGCCACCTCCCCTGGTGCCACCAATATGGATCTGTTGGGAGGTCAGTGGGCTTCCAGAAAATTCTCTACAAAAGAATCACTCTGGGAAGCTCAACCCTAAAACCATCACACAATATGATAACACATGCATGCCCAAGCACATACAGAATGCAGACAGAACTTTGCAGATTTATCGATGATATTGTCAACGTCCTGCTAACAAAGCTGCATCATCAGTAACAGTGAAGTCTGAGGGCTGTTTCAGACTCTACGCAAACTACGTAAACACAATCAAAAACACAAGGGTCACACAAGTATTTATCTACATAAGCAGTGGTTGCCCTGCATCTTGGCAGATATGATATTCCGCTCATGGAACAGGGGGCAAGAGTCACTGGCCCATGGTCCTAATCAGGTCGCGTGATTTATCTGGTAGAAATGAAAATCTCTGCTGACAAAGACTGCATCATTTTGCGTATGCTAAATTGTCGCCATTAAAAGGAGAAAAGCGTTGTGCATTTGCCGTATCTTAAAGATGCAGATAAACACAAACAACTTTGCACTGCTCTTTTTGTTTTTTAACACCACATACCGTTCTTCTTCTGAGTGACAGTACAGTATTTGCATTAGTTCCTCTATTGGAAATGCATGAAATAACACTGGTGCTTGTGTCATGTTACAAAATTTTGGATGACACATTTTGCTACACAAGTATGTGCCAAACCCTCTTTGCGTAGCTGGAAGAATTCATGGCTGTGTAGCTTGCGTAGTCTGAAAGAGCCCCTAGGCTGTGTCTGAGATCACCTGCTCATTCACTCCTTCACTACTCCCTATATAATGTACACTCAGTAATTTACGCAGTAGTGAGTAGTAAATTCAGATTTTGGACACTTACAGAACTAATCACTGTCTTTTTGTAGTATCACTAATGGCTGTAGATAATATTCGCATCTGTAAAACATGGTGCATTACACGGTGGGATTATTAGCAAAAAGATGCTGTGGACACTGCTGTTTTCACTCCACTGTAGAATTTTTGAGGGCTCTAAACAGTGGACACTCAGCATACACACACTCAATTAAAATCGCAGACATTGAATGTGGTGCACTAGTGGTTTTGCATTAATGATGCATGCCTCCATCGTTTTCAGCTATCATGTGGCACATGGGCCATGTGATTGTTTGAAAGGCGAGGGGGCAGTGGCTCATGACAATACTGCTGATCAAAAGTGACATTCTGAAATAAACTGTGACAAAAAATGACACGAATAAGAACAAAATAAGAATAAACTCCAGTACAAAAGTAAGAGTGATAAAATAACATGCATAATGATGAGCTGAGTGTGAATAATATCTTCAATATGAACACAAATGATCAGCTCATTTATTAGTTTAACATAAATCATTCATGATTATTTATTTTATATTTATTTATTTATTTATCAATGACCACTTCAAAGCTTGATACAAAATATCTAGATCCTGCAGGATGCTAGATATCAGAAACACTGGTTCATTTTGTATCACACGCACACACACACACACAGTATTTCTCTACAAATACTGCACATACAAACATTTCAACATTATGTAATTTTGAAAAGGGACTCACCTTTGGCTTGCACGTCAACAGTGCTGCACTCATTCTCCGTATGCATCGTGTTTGATAGGCGAACATGCTTTTCTTTGACCTCAGTGAAAAGCAATTCTATCAAACCCTGTCACGTGGTTACATCTACAAACGGCAGCTATAGATTTCAGGCTTATTCTTCTCTTTGTGCAGTAGATTAAAGTTTGCTGTAGTGTCTCCTGTCTGTACTCACATGTGTCCAATCACCTGTCAGTCAATGTCACATAACCAGCGCTTTAAACTGTAGGGTTTTTTTATTGTTGAAATTTAGTGCTGATGCTTCTTTTTTTCTACTCAGATGTTCTAAGCTTACCTTTATTTCCCAGGTTTTGTCCTCATGTCTCTTGACTCCTTATTTTTTCTTTCCATCTTTATTTCTTCATCCATTTCTGTCTCCCTGGACTCCTCTGTCCTCTGCTGGGGTTTCTGTGTAAACCTCAGACGCCTTCGCGACACCTGCTCCTGCCAGTGAGGCGTCTGCAGCAGTGGCTGAAGGCGGGGCTGCCGCTACCTTCTCCCAAGCCGCCAATGGTGGAGCTGGTGGGTGACTGAACGTCTGTCAGTACATGTGTTCATGTGTGTTGACTGAACTGTCTGATCAGTTTGCGGGTGACAGTAAGTAAAGGATCTGAATACTTTACCAACCACTTGTTTGAGGGTCATGAACAAAAAGATGCCCAATAACTTAGCAAGCAGTTTGTGTAGATGGAAACACTCATGTGTGCCTTTATTGTTGGTCTGGTGTCTTGATCAGATTTTCATCTCAAGGCTTTGTGCAGGAAATGTAGGCGTACGGATTCACTATTCATCGCCGGTCATATCTGGACAGTGCTATTGTTACCATGGCAATTCAAGGCAATATTCTTGTCGGTTATCTTTTGGCATTCGACTCTGCATTTTCTTCTGCGGAGAAGGTTGCCTGTGGCAGTTGTGTGGTTTTGGTTGTAGTTAAGTTGTGCTTTTTTTAAGGTACTGTGAAGTTGTTAAATATTCCTGCAGTTGTGTGTCATTTTTGTCGACCACAGATGCTAATTTTAGCTATAACAGTTTGAACTGACAGCAGGAGTGTGTTGGAGCTCTGCATATTCTGTCCTCATGTAACTCCTCCCTGTTGCTTCTTCTTTTTTTTTCTCCTCAGCTTTCATATTTATATCAGTGATTTCATCCCCATTGTCGTCTCATGAAGCATGTTTACTCTGTTTAGTATTAAATTCACTGTCTAACACATCGCATTCTTCTCCATGTGTTACATCTCTTCCTCACCCCCTCATCCCATTTCTTCCTCAAAGACCCCTTTGTTCCCTCAGATGGTAACATCAACATGTCACCTTCAGGTCTAGACCTTTTTGGCATGGTGACACTAGAGAATAACAACCTGGGTAGTTCGCTGGATGCCTGTTTTAGCTCTGTAGCACCCCAGCCCTGTCCTTCCCCTTCACCGCCCTTCACCTCCACATCCAGCACCATCACCAGCACTGCAACCATTTCAGCTCTCGTAGTATCCCCCAGTGCCACCAACCCTGCAACTGATCTTTTCTGTGGTAAATGTTAAAGATGTGTGTGGTCTGTTAATCTTAGTGTCTGGTCATATTGATTGGCATCTTTCTGGCTCTCTAGTCTGCCTGCCATCCATCTCCCTTCCTCGAGTGCACATATCAAAGGCTCTCTATCATTTAGCTGTTGTGTGTGTGCAGCATCATCATTTTAAAGTGTTTGAGCATTCTAATATTCCTGTCTCTGGGTGCGCATGTGTTCGTAGACCTCTTTGGTTCCATGCCAGACACAAGCTTCACCAAAGCAGACCCTGCTCCCAGTGTTGACTTGTTTATAGCAGGTACCCTATTGCACCCAGTCTGCCATCTTGTATGCTGTTATTCTCATATCCTGTCTTGCTGTGCTTGTTTCTCAGCTTTGTCCTTGGCTTTGATTAGAGAAGGAAAAAACAAGGAAATGAGATTGCTGTCTTACAGGTCAGCTGAACCCCACTGAGCTGTCTAGAGTTTTCACTGAACCACTCTCACCTCGTTCCCATTCTGGCATGTACTGTGTGCACTGAAATTGCAGCTGATAAATGTGCATCATAAAGTCACTAGTTTGTGTGTATTTGTGTTTGGGCTCTAAACACCATCTCCACCTTGCCCTCCCCAGCAGAAGCATTCAGCTCCCCTGCCCCCATCCTCTCCTCTGCACTCCCACCCAAAATGGCCACGGGAGCCATCATGAACCTGTTTGGTGGTGGGTAACTCACAGCTGCCTGCCATCACCCTGTCACTCCTCATGAAGAAGAGATGAATCTGGGAAGGCTGTAAAATGAACAAGTTGATATTAAAAACATCAGATTTTGCTTATGGTCATAATTACTGGCTAGATACTGTATGTTGCTGCATATTGTACTTTTTCTGTGCATTAGTTCAGTTTTTGTGTTGTCAGTTTAAATTCACAGATACGTATCTTGTACCAATGGAAACTTTGCCTATGTGGATCAGCCATAATATTAATATATTACAAGCAGATACCTGAGATCAATCCCTGCTCATGTTGAAATGGCTAAATTATTAAAGAGCTGCTTTTGGCTGTAAACACAGATTTTACAGTGTATGAACGTGTGTCTTTTAAAATGCATGTAGGTGCTTTACTGTGACTGCAAAATGAGTATAGATTGCATTATTATAAGCTGTGTGTATGTATGTTCTAATTTCTAAAAGCAACTGTCTGCAGTTTATTGAACTATGAGTGAAAAATTGTACATGTATACATTGAACTTTCCTATCTAACTCTGAACACTTTGTTTGGCATTAGCAGTGTGAAGCCGAAGGCTGATTATTACCCCTTCTTTGCCCTTATGCTGCGATGGAAATGGCTCCCCCTGCATTGATGTGGCATGGTATGGTTTGGTATATGTTGCGTTGACCTGCCAGAGTCCACAGGAGGAGATGCCCCAGCTGCTGCTGCTGCTCCTGCGGCCCCTGGTGCTGAGCTTATGTCAGGTAAAAAACATATGTGAAGTGCCAAGCTGCATGCATATGTATACAATCAAGGGTAAATCACTATGTTGTAAACATTTCATGGAACTATTTCAGTGAACACACTGTGCTGTATCCATGGAGGGATTATTTAATAGGCCCACCAGGCAAAGGCCAAGCGGCCCCCGGGGCCAGAGCCTCTGTATGATCTGACTCATGTTAATTTTTTTTTGTTGGAAAGTCACAGACCTCTGGTAAAAGTAGATGTGTTAAATTAGATGTTTGGCAGCAGAAAGCTTAAGAAAAAAGAACCTGCAGCTCAAGTTTTTATTGATGTGTTCCTATAATTATTTGTAAAGCATGCTTTAGTTTTTAGTGTAATAATCGTGCAGTGTGTGTGTGTGTGTGTGTGTGTGTGTGTGTGTGTGGAGCTGCTGGGGCAGCCTCCCTTAATCTCCAGTGTAAATTAAACACTAAAGTTTAGCTGCAGCTGTTCAACCAACAGCAACACCTGATAGTTCTGATTTATCTGCAGAATGTTTAAAGAAACACAGCATCATTTGTTTTAGTCTGTTTTTTGTGTCTTCCTGCTCCTATGTATGAGAGGTGTGCAGCCTTTTACATGTCTGTGCCCAGTTGTACACACGTCTGTGTTAAGTGACTGCATGATGCCTTGTTATTGTCCTTCTAAATTCATGTTTTTAGTAGCACTTTGTCATTTCTTTGCAACAGTGTTTGCCTGTCATAATGGTTGTTTTGTGATGATAGATAACAGTTAATGAAATAATTGTTTTATTTATTCACTCATATAAACAATACAATAGATTTTATGTTCTTTGCATAATGAATTGAGTGTTGTTGTTTCAGTGTCAAGACAAAGGTCAGATGGATCATGTTAACATCATTATTGCATCACCACCTTATTTGCATAGTACTATTTTTGTTTTTGTTTTTGGAGAATTCCTCCAGTCGCTTCCATGTTGCACGACTGCACAACCAGTAACCGTGGTAACTGTTACTGGGAATGTGTGACCTTGCTCACCTGGTTTCTGGTCATCTCCTGTCCTGTGCCATTGAGCTTCATGTTATGCAACTGATGGTCTGCCATACTACTACTTTCAGGCTTAACTCTTTCTTTCCCCTCTTTCTGTCATTCACATAATAACCTCTAGTAGTTTCTCTGCTACTCGCTCCTGTTAAATCATTTGCATTTTTCTCTCTTTCTGGAATTTCTTTTCTCTTTCTCCCCTTCTTGCTTCTCTTTCTCCATGTGGCTCTTGGGCTGGCTCATTGCTTGCTTCCTGCCATTTGACCGGGTGAGTTTTCTTGCTCTTTAACGCGCTAATTTCCCACAGTGCACTGCTGCATTGCAGTGGTGCAGAGCAAGCTCAGCTGCATTGTTCCTTCCACCACCAGATGCTTAATGGTTACAAAGAGTATGTGAAGTAGCAGTATTTATTTAATGTTTCTGTAGCAATGAACCCATCTTCATTCTAGCTGCAGTGTTTTGCTTCCCTCATCTTTTCTGCAGCAATTACACACAAATGTATCTACAAATACTGAAAATGTATTATTGGCACTGCCTCTGTTGTTATGATGGTAAAATGAGGTGTTTGTCACATGGTCACAAATTCTGGTTCATATTCATACACATATTTTCAAAGATTATTTCCTATACCCAGATAGCAAAGAAGCATGTAAGCAGCTGATCTGACAGATGTCTCCTGTAGCAGATATGACTCTATTTTACATATTGTTGCTATTTTACACACAGTCCATTTATCAGCTTTTAATACGCTGCAATGAGCCATTTCACTTCTTGCTATGATGATACTAATATCTTACTTTACAGTATTAACCAACTCACATTCCCATCCTCTTCTCATCTCTCTGTTGCCATGGAGACACCTATTGGTTGTGGCGTAGTAAGCAGAGCCCTAATGATAGATCTGTCTTAATCCACTCTGCTAGTAAAGAGGTCTGCTACTGAGCTGTGATGGTGTGTGGGGATAGTTTGCACTGAGGGATATTAAATATCTCCCTCCCTTTTCCATCCTCTTCTCTCATTGTTTTGCCCCGTAGTATTTGATGGACTAGGGGATATAATGAAACCCACTGTTGCCCCTCAGACAGGTGATGTTGACACCTCCATGGCTAACATGGCAAGTAGTAAGTAGTCATTTAGATTAAATAAAGCAATACTGTAGATATCTGAGCATTCTGGGAAATGTGCTCTCTTTCCAAGAGATGGCAATACGACTCTCATGTCTAAGCATTAAATGAAGCTGGAAGGCATTAGCGTAGCATAGCATACAGTTTGAAAGCAAGGGAACACAGCTGGCCTGGCTTTCTCTAAAGTGCACTGAGGAGCACCTGTAAAGAATCTTGTGTAGTTTTACATTACTTTTGTGTATTAATTAAGCAAAGATATGCACTGTGTTTATTATTAGTGAGCTTTAGAGGTGTTGGTAGGCAAACGTTTGAAGATTGGAGAGAGCCTGGCTAGTTGTTTCTCCACTGTTTTCTGTCTTTATGCTAATCCTGACTTTAGCGCCATACTTAACTAACAGACATGAGAATGGTATGGATCTTTTCCTCTAACTCTCAGAAAGAAAGGTTGTTTTTTTTTTTAGAAAAAAGCGATTTCCCATTGCATTAATTTACATTGTCTTGCAAGTAAATTTGATTGCATTAAATTCTGTAATAATAAGTTGTAATAATATGTCTTTAAATGAAAATTGTGATTTTGCAGTATCACTCTCTCTCTCTCTTTTGTCTCAGATCTCACAATGGGAACCCCAGCGGCCCCTCAGGTAGCTCCCCCCAGTTGGGGTGCACCCATGGTAAATGTTGTCTGTGTCTTATAGCATGGAGTGGAGCTGCATGGCAGCAACAAACAGGGCATACCTGTAGCAGCAATCACAAATATTGCCTTCATCTGGCTCTCCAGGTTCCAGGTCCACTCACATAGCTAGCAAATCAAGAGGTGTGGCAATAAAGCAAGGAAACAAAGCATGCCATATTACTCAGCCTTTAGCAAGTTACAGACATTGCAGGGTTTTTTTTATGTAAATCTAGTACGCTGTCCACAATGCATGCACTTATTAGAAATGTCTAACAAATGGTCAAAACCAAGGGCAGAAATTCAGGCAGATTCATTTGGAAGAGTATAAAGGCCACTGCACAAAATGTATTTAAATTCTGACCTAAAATTCAAACTTCCCAGAAAAAAGTCAGAATTCAAATCATTTTTGTACAGAGGCCTTAATCCTCCTCCGTAGATTCAACATGTAGTACGCTTCAAAATATTTTTTATAATATATTTCTGGAAAATCTACCGGAGAGTGATGAAGTTGCAAGTGATGGTGCCCAATTGGAAACAGCTTCTTCGTTTCTTAAGTTTGCATTTTATTTTAAGCCTGTTGGAGTCCAGGAAAACCGCCTGGTTCTCCTCTCATAGTTGAACTCCTTCTTTAACACATTGGCTTCCTATGGCTATTCAGTCTTTTTGGCAACAACAGATCTGACACTTCACTCTGAAGGCTACCTGCAACAAGCTTCCCCTCCACTCTAACTCCTTGTGCATGTGTGTTGTGCCATGTTTATTGTCCAGCATTAACATTACTTTTTTACATGTATATGTACTTTTTTTCTTATGTTATGTTGTGGTGTGTCTATGTCAGTCTTATAGGTAGTGTAGTAACATCCCAACTCCTCCTCCTCTCCCTCCCATCCCCTCCACACCTTTAGACTGTACCCATGGGTGTCCCTGCTTTTATGGGGACTCACCCCAGCTTCTGCATGGTAAGCACACCAGTCCAGTCCAATAATGTCCCTAAACCAGTCTGGACATTACTGGACACTAATGGACAATGACCCCTTTAGGTGGCCCTCACACCCTTCGACCAACACTGTGTCTGATTGTCCCTTTTTCTTCCTGTCTGTCTCTGTGTAAGCTGGGAGCACCAGGTGTTGGAGCTCCCATGATGCCCATGGTGAGGCCAGGCTTCCCTGCCACCGGAGCAACCCCTGGAGCACCGGTAACACCCTTATTCTTAATTTTATTATACATACATTTATACCTAAAGGTTACACATACTCTAGCATAAGGAGTTTTAATACTAACTAGGCTAGTGATAGTTGTTGAACCATCATGTGATGTCTTAGAAAAAGCCACAGAGCAGAATACTCTGCATTCGCTACAAGTGAGCCACGTTTGATGCTGCAGCCATGGCCAGCTAACTCCCTTAATGTGCACTTAAGGCTACAGTATGTAACTTAAGGTAGCACTAGCATGAAACTCCAAATCAATCCACTCTGCTCCACCCAGCACTCCCTCTCCCTGCTCCACTATGCTCTACTATGATCCACTACGCTCCGCCTCACTCTTCCAGACTCTTCACATATCTGTTGTTATGAAATTACAATAAATGAGAATGCAACAAAACTCACTTGATTAAACAGAAATCATTGAAAATCTCTGATTGGTTAGAGAGGTCAGTCCTGCTCAGACCTTTTAGAAGCTAATGTCTCTGCACTGCTGCCAGTGCTGTTCAATGAGTCTGGGTCACAGGAGGCTTTGACTGCACCTCTCCACATTAGGACAAGTTTTGGAGCAGATTCCTACAGCTAAAATGTAAATTTACATACTGTGGCTTTAATGACCGTAACATTACTGCCATAGTTCCTGACCCTGGGATCAAAACCTTCCAATGAGCCCCAAAATACTGTAAATCTGAGTTTACAAGCTGATTAAAAGAACTGACAGTTCTCTAATTTCAGTTTTTCTTGCTTGTTACTGTCACCCTTCAGCCCTCTGAAATACTACTAATGTAAAAAACTCTTTTAGTTAAATTGTTCAGTCCACACAACAGCCATTACTAGTGCTTGAGATTTGAGTTACACAGCATCTTGTTTTAAAAGGGGGATTGTACCTACATGTAAAGGCCAGTTTAGCCACTGCTCAGCTTGTGAAAACAGTCGTATAAAGTCTTCTGTGGCTGTGGAGGAGTTTTGTCAAGACTGAGAGCGGTTGTCGTGGCTTGAACTTGGAGAGAACAAACTGACAGGAAGGCTGTGTTACTAACTTGTGGCATGGCATTTGAAAGACATGGGAATTAACCAGGCTGGAAGGGTCCAATGAAATGTATCAATGTATCAATACTTTGACTTGCCAGTCTGAGCAAGGTTTTTGTTTCCGTGTTTTTCTGTCTGTCATAGAGTATGTAATTAGACCCCGCCTTTTTCTGTTGGGAACTTGTTTTAATCAAATCTCATTTTGTCTCCATCTCTCTGCTTCTCTGTGCCTGCAGGTTTGTCATTGTCTGAAGCTCTGTCGATGTGGATGTCTGCACTTACCCACTGCCTTCCCTCAGTCATGCCACAGCCATTCAGCCAACCAGCCATCACACCTTTGATCTTTAGCCCTCTAACCTCCTACCGGCCGTGACCCCTAACAAAACCTGCCCTTCTTATCTAATGTTGTAGCACAACTGTGAATGTGAACCCTAGATACAGAAAACAACATTCTGTTTATGTGTGTGTGGGTGTGTGTGTAATTCAGTGTTAAACTTTCCTTAATATATTACTGGAAAATGAATTAAAATAAATAAATAAATGTGTATTTAGATTCATTCTGAATTTCCACGTATCAGCTGATTTGGAATGGTGGATATGTCTGTTTCTTTGCGCATTTCCCAGACGAGGACCGTGTTGTTAAATGTGGACTGTGTTCAGTGTGTATACAGTACCTTCACTGGCCAACACCCACTCCCATAGCTCTGTCCTGTCATTCAAACTAATACTGAGCTACGTTTATGTCATTAATGAAAAGAAATTGGTTGTACCTATATCTGCTTGGCCATCCACGCTCCCACCGGTCTACTTCAAGATTTTGGAGAACAATTCTTGATCAGAATGTACCTGAAATCTGGACTTTCATCAAACATGTCAAATAATGTTCAGTTTCATCTTTGCTTTAGCTTTTTTTAAGGATTGTATGAACATGCAAAAATTTGTGAACTGTGTTCAAACTGACATATGCATTTCTGACTTTAAATGAGAGATGAAACATATTTTCTTTAACCTTTATTTTGAGAGGGAAAATGTATCATATATTTTTAGTTACATCAAATTATATGGTTGAAAAAAAGCAAGTAGACTCAAAAATGTCCCTCCTTTGTACATACCTCTCAGACTGTAATCAGTCAGTATTGAATGGAATCTTTGTTGCGCCCTCTGCTGGTGTGGAATGATACTGTATCATAGCGTGCAACACATGGTTGCATTTTAACACTCAAAGCACTCAAAACACTTTCCATGTCTCTGCGTCCACACAACATAGCTCTTTTCCATGTCTCTGCGTCCACACAACATGACCCCATGTTAGGGTGGAAATCAAAGACAGGGAAGCATTTGTGTATGTAACTGGAATGCGGCCTGGGTACTCCTTAGGAAATTTGTATGGCAGCAGCGGCAAATTTGGTCATGTGCTGTCACTGGAGGTGTTGGAAGTATACGCTGGATGTTCTCTGTGTTGTTTATTTACAAAAGTGATTGTATCTTAATCCATTTAACAAAGTGTTGAAAGAAAAATAAAGATGACAATGATGCATACAACTAAAAAGAATGTGGATAAATAATGTTTGCTACTGTAAGTATTCATATGAAGGCTGTGTTTTTTCCCCCCCGGGTTAATATGGATGGCATCGTTACCCCCTCCTCCTGCATGTGAGTCCAAATGAGATGCAATAAAAGATGAATACACTGATCCAAACGACCCTCACGGCTCATTACTTATCTCTGGTCTGCTTAATTTTAAAAACCATTTTATTGGTTATCAGCATGGATTATCTTTGTTACATATCTTACAAGAAATGCATTTGTGGCACCAAAGAAAAAGTACAATACAAGATTATTTTGTTTGCTTTTAAAGTATATGTGCTCCTTACAACATGCAACATGAGAAGATAAGAGTTTGTCTTTCCCTTTACATAAACTGTTTTATTTACTTACAGGTGTATAAAATTGGTATTTCAGAAACAGACAAACAACTGTAGTGTTTAAAAAGGGGACTTTTTGTCATCCACAGGGTTTACTGCATGTTTCCCACATTCTCCAGATGCACTGGCTGATAAATAGGCCACAGATTCAGAACAGGGGACATTTGCTGCAACTGTGTTTTACAGGTTTGTTGATATGGCCTGACAACATGAGCTGGCCTCAGATCAGCACTCCTGGGTCAGTATGTAGAAAGCTGCTCCTTCAAAACATTTTGATAGAACATGAAAACATTTATAAAAGACAGAGTCGGCATAAAAACAACAAATTGTGCACACATTTTTTGATTTTTAACATCAACATTTATCATAAGGTTTCTTCCTATATACTGCAATATAGCTACTGCAGTATTTTTCTCCATTGCTCTTTAAGTTCAAACCTCCTTACAGAGATCTGGATCTCCATGAATCCAGTGGCAGATCTGGGCATATTTAGGAGGAGTGATCCTCACTGCAACATTAAAGTCCCCCTGTTCACCCCCCTCCACCTCCACCCGCTGATGGCCTGAGAACACCCCGATCACCCTCCTCTGCCACTTCCCTTTGCTGCTTGCATCTGCCACCTCCTGCCTCAGACGGATGTAAACACCTGCGCCTGTTGCGCCAGGCCGTGCGTCACAGTGCTGGTACATCAAATCCTCCGACTCCTTTGCTACTGAGCAAAAACGATAAACCACCTTCTCGTTTCCACGGTCACCCCGCAGGCTTTTGTCAGCGTCGTAGCCTGAGAAGTGGATCCGCGCCAAAGGAGCGGAGGAGGGAGCAACTCCGAGCATCATGTACCTCAGCTTCATGGGTCGTTTCAGCTCCAGGAGGGCGTAATTGTAGTCAGAGGAAAGTGAGTTGTTGGAGCTGTCAGTGTGGATCCATCCTTGAGGGATTCGGGTTTGTTTAACTCGTGTCCAACGGAAGACAGGCTGCCTTCTGGGTTCAACGCTGCGTCGAATGCGGTTTTGTTTCCCTTGTCCTCCTCTCTCAGAGTCACCTATATTTCCATGAACAGCTACCACAGGACCTCTCTCTCTTTTCCCCCTGCGTCTCCTACCTTTGCCTCCATTTCTCTCTCTCACTTCATCCCCATCTATTTCGTTCTGCTCCACGCCTTCCTCCGCTATCTGCTCCTCCCCTTTCCCCTCACCTGTCTCCCTCTGTCCTTCTATCCCACCCCTCCGCCGCCCACCTCTCCTCCGACCCCCTCTTCTCCTTTTGGTTTTGAGCTGCAGCACTCCAACTTTAAGCTTCCTAGCGCTCTCTAGGTAATCCTTCCCGTCATGAACGCAGTGTGCTGCTGTTAGCACATGTTTGGGAGATATAAGGACTCCAGAGCAGCCTGTGGAGAGACGAACTGCGGTAGAGAACGGGTAGTTGGTGATAAAATGTGAGTCAGTGATCACAAAGCGTCCATCTGTTCCATAAACCTGCCGTTTCCTGCGAGTGCTTGATGGTGTGGTTACAGACCTACTTGTTGATGTCTTGTTAAGCCAAAGCAACCTGATATCTGTATGCGTACGTGTACCATTTGCATACATTGTCTCATATCCCAGAATTCTCTCTTGGTCAGCTTGGTCCATAGGCAGGAGGCTGCTGTGACACTCCATCCCACATAGCATCTTTGTCCCTCCTCTCTCCTCATCCTCCTCCTGCCCTCTGAATGAAGGTGTCTTTAAAAGTTGTGTGTGCGTGTCCAGCAGCAGCGGGAGGCTCTGTCGGCACCACCTATCCGCCTCGCTGTTCCCGTCTCTACCAAAAACTCCAGAATCTGTCAGAGAAGCCGCACAGAGCAGCACGCACAGGAGGTGTTTGAGGCCCATTCCACTGAAAAGAAAGACAAGAACACACTATTTGATCACCTTTCACATTCCAGATTTTTTCAAGAGAAGACCTGCGCAAATTCCTACAGCTCTTACCAGAGATGTGGCAGCAGATGGCGCACAAGCTCAATTTCTACAGAGCAATGTCTTAAAAATGTCTGTGATCGTTTAAATTGAATTAACAGGCTGTTTCAAAATGCAGGTAATTATTATTACATGCAACAGCCGACTCTGACATTTTTATCAGCCTCTTCTTAAAAAATGAGTTAGTCAGTCTAAAAAAAATCTAAAATTATAAATATCCAGAGTGGGTAAAAAGACATACAGCGTTTGTAAATTTAAGAGAAATGAGAATTGTTTTTACTTTGAAAATATTTCCAATCCGCGCAGTAAGTGTCACTTGACAAAAAGATGCAATAAATACAAATTTCAAAATGTTCCTACCTGCAAACATTCAATACCACCCCAACAACTTCCAACCAATGTCCTACTTCTCATTAATAAAATCTCGTCTCTATCCAGACGGCGTCCAGCTGACTGGGTTCCATCATATCCTGGGCTCAAAATAACACTGGAGCGCAAGAGGCTGCGCGCAGGATCCTGATAGAAATTTACATCCCACCCTGATGCAGAAAAAGTGACGACCGGGGTGGGGTGGGGGTGGGGGATGTCTGCAGGGTGTGAGCCTGAATGAACTTTGTGATTATGTGATGACATAACATTATAGGTACAAAATGGAGCCACGTGGAGACGAGTTCTCTGTTCTGTGATGCGTTCAAGTGTAAAGACATTAATTTAGATATTCAGAGAGATCTTTCTACAAAATGTTGCCTTTGACTCTGTGTTTATCTGGTGTTTTTGTGGCCAAAAATGCAGGTTTAGATTTATGTCAGGTCACGTTTGAAGTGCGTCCAGACACACTCAGGAACACACACAGCCCTACGCCTCTCTGATCTAAAAACCCTACTTTAAAGTCCTGTTGGTTTATTTTGATAAGTGTCTCTGCACGGTGCAACAAGAGTTTATTTAGGGTAGAAACTCATCCTTTCTCCGTGATTAGATGCTTTAACACCAACACACACACGTACCTACAGGCAAAAGCTTGGTTATTGATGTTATCATACTGACAGGTGATATTTGTGCATTTGCAAAAGTATTTTAGGATTTAGTTTGTGTAAATCTATAGCAAACAAAACATGCAAACAGAATTATAAATGTTAAAATTTCCATTTTCCCGAACTTCATAAAAGCCACATGAAATTATCAGTTGCTCTTTCCAACCTCAAGAATGAAGAATCTCATTTAAAGCAACATGGACAAAAAGTCCTCACAAAAAAATGTAAATATCTCAATTCAGGAACAAGTGAGCAAACTCAGTTTGCTGATGAAGATCATATGAGGCAACTGAAAGCTCCACAACAATTACTGCTACTGGACCTCAGGTGAAGTCAGTTAAAATATTTAAAGTTGTATCAACTCAAATCAAATCAAGTCAAATTTTAATGTATAGCGCCAAATCACAACAAAAGTCATCTCAGGACACTTTACAAAGTAAGGTCTAGACCTTACTATTATCACTAGACTATACTATAAGCTTTATCAAAAAGGAACGTCTTAAGTCTAATCTTAAAGGTAGAGAGGGTGTCTGACTCCCAAACTGAGACTGGGAGTTGGTTCCATAGGAGAGGAGCTTGATAGCTAAAGGCTCTGCCTCCCATTCTGCTTCTGTGGACTCTAGGAACCACAAGTAAACCTGAGAGCAAAGTGCTTTGTTGTGATGAAGCTCTACGGGGTCTTTAAGATACGATGGAGCCTTGTCATTAAGGGCTTTGTATGTTAGGAGAAGGATTTTAAATTCTATTCTGAATTTTACAGGGAGCCAGTGGAGAGAAACTAATATGAGAGAGATATGATCTCTCTTGCTAGTTCCTGTCAGTACTCTGGCTGCAGCATTTTGGATTAACGGGAGGCTTTTTAGGGAATTATTGGGACATCCTGATAGTAAAGAGTTACAGTAGTCCAGCCTGGAACTAACAAATGCATGGACCAGTTTTTTAGCATCACTTTGAGACAGGATGCTCCTAATTTTTGCAATATTGCGCAGGTGAAAGAAGGCAGATCTAGAGACTTGGTTTATGTGTGATTTAAAGAACATATTCTGATCAAAGATGACTCCAAGGTTCCTCACAGTAGTACTGGAGGCAAGAGCTATGTCATCTAAAGTAACTATATGATTAGACAGCAGATTTCTAAGGTTTTCAGGCCCAAGCACAAGAACTTCAGTTTTGTCAGAGTTTAATGTTGTGCTTCCTGATAATATTACCTAAAGGGAGCATGTATAAAGTGAAGAGAATTGGATCTAACACAGAGCCCTGTGGAACGCTGTGACTAACGTCAGTTTGTGTGGAACATTTGTCATTGACATGAACAAATTGAAATCTTTCTGATAAATAAGATTTGAACCAACTTAGCGCAGTTCCTTTAATCCCAATAACATGTTCAAGTCTCTGCAGTAAGATGCTGTGATCAATGGTGTCAAAAGCAGCACTGAGATCTAAGAGGACAAGTATGGAGACAAGTCCTTTGTCTGAGGCTAGGAGAAGATCATTGGTGACTTTCACCAATGCGGTTTCTGTACTATGATGGACTCTAAAATCTGACTGAAAATCCTCAAACAAATCAGAGGATCACTGCAGACCCCTCACACCCTGAACACAATCTGTTTGAACTCCTCCCCTCTGGATGGCGTTACAGGTCACTGTGCACCAAGACAACCAGGCACAAGGACAGTTTCTTCCCCCAGGCCATCACTCTGATGAACACTTAACCAACGACAGTATGATTGGACAATAACCCTCAGTGCAATACCTGTAAATATACCTCGTACAGATTATACAGACTCGTAGAGGTCTCTAGTTCTTAAGAACTTTGTTTTATCCCTTTTTATCTAATTTCAACGAACATTCCTTCAAGGATGAAGAAAAATTGGCCGTTATAGTTTGAGTTTACAGTAAGAATCTATCAGGACCAAACCATGACATAAAAACATAGAGGGTAAAGGCACTAAAAATACCTAAAAATATGTGTGGAATATACATCATATATAATTTAGAAGAGATAACCAAAACTCAACTAAGCAAAGTGATTTAAAAAATAATTTAATGCAAAAAAGTGACTGAGGCTCAGTCTAAATACCACAGTTTGTTTCCAGAATGGAGCTCTCATAGTGCCACAGTGCAGGATAATATCAGCATTTTATCTGGTTTGGTCTGACATGCATGTATTCTCAAAGGAGGATGCTGTGAATTGAAGAGTGGTTGGTTTTTCTCCTGCAATGACCTCAACTTGAGGACCACATCAAAACAGCACAAAAGCAATTCAGACACTAACATCAATTTTTATTTATTTATTTATTTATTTTTACTTTTAAACTATTCAAATATTTTGATGCCATACGTCAGAACAAGATCAAGGGTGTGATTTAAAACAGTGAGTGGATTTATTTATAGTTTGAGAGAAGCCAGTTGAGTTTAATAATGAACTGAATGCACTGTCAGAATCAGAATGTTTTAAAATGACATTGAACGTTGCATCAAACAATGAATGTACTGCATTTAGGGTGAAATGCCTTTAGATATTTATTAGTTTTGATCACTCACAAACATGACTGAATGATATGGGATGGGGAAAAAGCAAAGATTGTGTAAAATAAAGCGTTCATTTTAACAAACAGTGTCATTCAGTTTGAATGTGTGAAGTTTTCACTGTAGATATTAAAATATGTGCTCTGTTTTACATATTTGATTTATTTTTGCTTCACTGCAGCTGACTCATTCTCTGTGCGGGAAATAAAATGTGGGACACATCTGATTTGCATCATGTGCAAAAACCATGGTGAAATATGCCATTCAGAATGCCACTTAGTTTGCATTATCTTTGTTACTTGTTCCTCTTTGGCTTCATCGGTGTGGAACATCTTGTACCCACAAATGCATATTTACCATCATCACCTGCTCAGTGCAAAACATTCAGCTTCTCTGCCAGGAGCATGGAGCAGCTCAGCCCCACTGAGGTCGCTTCCAACATTTCTGATGGACCTCCACCTCTTGTCTCCTGGGACTCCAGCAACCTGGTCCCTGCAGTGGTATTGTCCCTGTGCTTCCTGCTGGGGGTTCCTGGAAACATTGCTGTGATCATTCTCAGACCAAACTGGCAAAACTTGTCCAGTCTGACCCAGACTTTGATGATGAATTTGACCGTGTCAGACCTGCTCTGCCTGCTCACCCTGCCCCTGTGGGTTTATACTCTTCTCTACAGCTGGACCTTCGGCCTGCCGGCCTGTAAGCTCCTAGCCTATCTTGTGTACTGCAGCCTGTATGGCAGCCTGCTGACTGCGACAATGCTGAGTGTCCAACGTTACTTGCAGGTGGTATACCTGCAGAGGCGTTTAGCTCAGACAGGAAAGACAAAGCTGATGGCTCTGTTCTGGGTGATTGTGATGATCCTGTCCACCCCTATGTTAGTGGTTCGCGAGCTGGCCACATATGGGCACTGGACACACTGTAAATCTAATTTTTTTTCCCGGACACAGACAATAGCCATGCAGCTGACAGAGATAATAATTGGATTTATTTGCTTGTCTGTTGTGGCTTTTGCCTACATCTGCCTCTACAGAAAAGTGAACCAGGCAGCTCTTTTCGACAACCCACAGATGACCAGAGTGCTCATCAGTATCACTGGGACCTTTTTCATCTTATGGATGCCATATCATATCATAAATGTGATCAGTGTCACAGCTATTTTTCTCAAGAACAATGACATGTTGAAATTTTACATGAATATCTTGGATATTTTTAGATCACTGATATTTGTGAATAGCTGTTTGAATCCAATCCTGTATGCGTTTGCTTCTCACAGGTGCACTGTGCCAACAAACCGAACATAAATACTGCAGCAAACACAGAACTCGCCATTCAAGGAAATCTCTTATCATGAAAGTCAGCAGATATTAGTGCAGATTCAGATTCAGTAATGAAAATGCTTTAAAAAATTACTTTTGCTTTATATACAGTGCCTTGCGAAAGTATTCGGCCCCCTTGAACTTTG